ACAAGACAACAGCTCTGGCACTAAAAGAGAGAGAGAGAAAGAGAGAGAGAGAGAGAGAGAGAGAGAGAGAGAGAGACGAACTTTGATACTGCAGGTTCGCTTTAAGCTTTTATCAAGTATATGTCATTACTAAAAGTACATATGAATAAGGATTAGCAGTGTTTAACTTCGATGAGCATACGGCAATTTAAAGGGTACAGTCATTTGCACACTTGCAGTTGTCCACGCCGTGCATTTTCGCGATTTGTAACAGTATCTCTCTCACAAATCTCAATCTCCCGGCAAATATATGCTTCTGATAATGTGGGTCTGAGACACCTGGGGACTCTGACACATTGATCATAATAGCAAAATCGATCAAAACATAATTATATACGATCCCAATTTGTCGATAGCAAATGCATAATCCATTGCTACCAAAGAAGATAACAATCAGTAACAGCAGACAAGCCGTGGGTCCCGGTGCTTTCGGGTAGTTTTTGGTTTGGTTGGAGGGACTGGGAAATTGGTTGAGCTCACCATTGTAAAGAAGAGAATGTTGAAGAGAAACAAAAGGGAAGTTGATGTCGTTGATGTTGAGGCCATTTCTTTACAATTTGTCTTAGCTGCTTAGTTCAAAAGGCTTGGTTTGATGGAAAAAGTTTTGAATGAGTTGGGAGTTTATAGGGGAAAGAGTGAATATTTTTAGTTTCTTGGTGATGTTTATTTTGATAATTTTTTTTATATGTAGTGATTAGCTTCCATGTGGAAAATGGAAATGTAGCTGCCATGCCAAATTGAAAGATTAAAAGATTAACCTCATATATATAAGTTGGATAGTTCTTATTTGGCCTTGCCTATTCTAAATTAAAATCATCCAATATAACTAATATATGGCCATGTAATAGCACCATATATGAGGGATGAATAATGGAAATCAAGTAACATTACTTTGAACAAAAGTGGCATATTCTAAATGATTAAAAGATCTTAACTTATATTCATCAGGAGAATATAACTCCACCATTTATCAAATGCTATTCCAAATAATGCAACCAAAATCAAAGCACAGAATAATAATAGAAAATCCTTAGGCTTTGTGAAATTGAAGAAAAAACTAGTACAGCAGAAAAACCACAAATTAACTTGCTTGAGGTTAACTCATTAAAGCATCTGGTACTGGAAACATTTGAATGCATACACTGTTCATGACCTCAAAACCATCAAACAAGGGAAATAAGAAGAACATAGTATGGGGACAAAGGACATTCACACCTGCGGCTCTCCACCAAGAATTCACTCTTAAGTTGTCGTCCGGGTAGACTTTTGGTGTCTGAAGAAGGAAAAAGAAAACAAAACAAACAAAGAAAAATAGAGAGATAATATTGCATTGTATAAAAGCAAAACTAAGCTTCCATTCCACAAGTAAACTCCTTGTCCATTCTTGATGCTTTGGCTTTATTGTTGTTCACCACCCAGAAGAACAATACACAAGATTAGCTTTGCTGAATATTGAACACGTGATTCAGCGGATAAAAAGATCGGATTCTTTTTTAGTTGATTGTGACATAAATTCAAGATGATAAAATCTGCATTAGAATCACATAAAAAGTCTGGAGTGTGTATGGTTAGAAAAAAAAGAGTATGCCCATCCCACAACGACTAGTTAATGGGGTGTTATTGAGTACAGGTGTGGATTAGACACCCGCTCCCTATGATCTAGCTTTCGGGCATAAGTTCTACCCAAACTCATTCATCAATTAGCAACACGTCTACAACTTTTTGCAACTAGTTATTAGATATAAAGATTTAAAGAAGCTAGAGTTGAGAATATGAAGATGCAGTCTGCTAAAACAAAGATCTCAAGATATTATCTCGATTGTTGGATGATTGAAAACATAAAACTGTCTGGAGCCATAACTAGAACTAGGGTAAGAGACGAGTTAGTACTCTTGCTTCAAAAATGATCAAGTGAATGTTGATAATGGTCAAGAGATGGAACAGCATCAAACTACACAACAACCATCTTTTACTCATTTCCCTTGTCTGGTTCATGTGTACACATATAATGACAACAGAGGCAAGTCTGGTCGGATATGTTTAGTATGTTTCTTAGAGGTGTCTCAGGGGAATGTTTCACACACTCGGACTTTTCATGTGTGACTTTACGCCATATTTATATAGTTTATTCATTACATTACATTATTGGTGTATAAATTACATTATTGTGCTTTAAGTCTATATCTTGTTAGAAAGGTATTACACGTGCTCGTTTTGTAGAAATTTCCACATTTTTGTAGAGATTTTTGGCTATTGGAGGAGCATGGTGAGTACTGTAGACCCCCGGCATGATAAAAGATTGATGCACTGATAAAAATAATGGAAGAAATGAGTGAAACGAGCAAGAAAGAGAGTGCAGATTTGTCACAGGGCACTGGGACCTGAGACAGGCCATGTCACATTAATTGAAGAAATTCGTACCAACAGACCTTGCACAGGCATGATACTTGATAGTCGTGTCGCGTGAGCAGACTGCTTTTTATTTCTTGCCTTATTGGAAAAGGAGAAGGCTTTTAAATGATATAAGGCATAATTACCCTATTTTGAGAGGGAAGAACGTGAGACACAAGAGAAGGAGCCCTAGAACAAGAGAAGCAATTAAGAAGCAAAGAAGACCGAACTACGAAGAAATCAAGGAGATTGAGAGATCGACGAGATTCCTCATTTTTGTTTTTTTTTTCCTTTTGAACTTTTATTTATCATGTCGATTTTCAATATGTCTATGCATTTGATTTCGAACATTAGTGGCTAAATTATTTGATTCTAAAACTTGGTAGTAGATTAATATGTTGGGATTTTGAATGAACTACTATAACCAATGTTATGAAAACCGGATCGGACCGGCCAGTTCGACCGGTCTATATAACGGTCCGGTTTGAGGTTTGAAACCGCTTGGCCCAAAACCGATTAATAACCGTTTGAACCGGTTAAAACCGGCAAAACCGTTTGAACCCAGTACCGGGTGTTCCGGCCGAGCAGTTCCATGAAATCTTTATACAAAAGATTATTTAGAACCATTTAAATAGGTGAAGTGTTTGCTTTGCACATCCGATGTGGGATTCAACGTATTCGCATCAGTGACAATGGGCTGATAGCGTGTCTATGGCCATGGCCCAATTCTAATGGGCTGGTATATTTGCACAATAACAAGACAGAAACATAAGATTTATTTGTCAAATTCCATTTAAGAAAAAGCTGGGTTATCCAACTATGACTACCTCAACAAACTAAAAAGGACAGTCACTTTATATTATTTACAATAATATGTTTTAGAACTAATAACTATAAATCTTAAGTTAATATATATTTACTTAGAGTGTAAAAAATTGTTTATGCATCATAGATGTTAAATATATGAAACTTAAATTAATGGTTATGTTTTACGAAGTATATGTATATTTAATATTTTCTTTATTTATTTAATCTTTTCTTTATTTATTTAGATAAATGTTATTATAAAGTGTAAAATTAATGATAAAAAAATTATATAATTATTTATTATATACAATACATAAATATTATATATTAATTAAACCGGTTCGACCACTGGTCCGACCAGTGAATCATTGAACCGGTAGTTTCACCAGTTTGGTGTTCAGAACATTGACTATAACTATTGTTTTTTTTTTTTGTAACTTCATTCAAATATTTTGTTCTTATTTCATGTTTAGCACTTGGCCAATGCTTTTACATTATTGACAATATTGTTCATAGTTCGAGAGATGAGTTCAATATTAGGTCTCTAATATAAAACACAAATCACTTGCTTAAATCGAGAGATTAGTAGGTCGTTGTGAGGATGTTAGATTTTTTAATCTATTTGTAGTTGACTTGCATTTGTTGAGTGGAGACACTATTATATGTGATTTAATCTACGGTTTTATTGATCTCGAGAAGGACGATAAGCTAAAATTGCGATCACATTATATGTGTTGAGTGGAGACACTTATATATGTGTCCTAACACAAGTGCTCACATTATTATACATGTCTTTTACGGTTTCTATATAACCAATTCGAACCCCCTTCTTTTCTAACACTCTCCACATACTTCTATTAACACTATCACGAGCTTTTTCAAGGTTAATAAAGACCATATGTAAATTTTGTGCTTCCTCATTAAAATGTTCACAACTCTCCTTATCATATGAATAGCTTCCATTGTTGATCTCCCGGCATAAAGCCAAATTGGTTTTTCATTATGCTTGTTTCTTGTCTTAGTCTAGTTTCTATCACTCTCTCCCATAATTTCATTGTTTGACACATTAGTTTTATGCCCCTGTAGTTTGCATAATTATGAATATCTCATTTATTTTTAAACAAAGGTTTAATGTACTTTTCCAACATTGGTTGGACATTTTCTAACTGATTATGTTAAACAAGTTAGTAAGTCATTCGATGCCAAATTTACCAAGGCATCTCCATGACTCTATTGGAATATCATCAGGTTTACGATTTTGCCCTTTTTCATTTCTTGCATTGTTTTTTCTACCTTTTTGGTTTGAATTTTTTATAGTATGTGTACTTTTTGTATTTCTCACTTTCCTCTATAATCCCTAGCGGTATTTCCCTATTATCTACTTCGTTAAATTGTTTATGAAAATAATCGTTCCACCAATTCTTTGTTATTTTATCATCAACTAATACGTCTCCATTTTAATCTATTATGTATTATGCATTTAATTTCCGTTAAGTCTTTTGTCTTCTTTTCCTTTTGCTTTGCAATTATAAATGTCATTTTCTCCCTCCTTAGTATCTAATCTCTTATAAAAAATTTCAAAGGCTTTTTTTTGTTTCACTTACCAACTTTTTCACTTGTTTTTTTTTTTTTT